CGTGGGCAATCGCAACGTGGGCAATCGCAACGTGGGCAATCGCAACGTGGGCAATAGTCACTGTGGGCAATCGCAACGTGGGCAAAAGACTCCCACTCCCGCCCTCTTCTTGCCACAACTGGTGGCCTCGCCACCACTTTCGTGAATCCGGCCAAGCTGGCGGAGGGGGTGGCAGGAAAGCGCAAAAGGAGGGAAAGTCTATCGGGCGGGGATTTTCCATTTGCTGCGCGAGGATCTTCTTCCTCGCAGCCGGGGGTTTCCGTCTCGATGGACTGTGAGTCGGCGGAAGCGAGCGTCGATCCCCCTTGTGGGGCTGCCGCCTCCCCGGCTCCATTACCGTTGTCGCAAAGTGCGGAAGAGGGTGTTTCTCCCTCAGGCTCCGGGGGGACTTGTTCTCCCGGTTCCAAAGAGGACACCCTGTTTCCATCGCAAAGGGAGAGGAGGACGACCCCCCCGATACTGTCCTCTTCAGTTCCCTCCAAGGGGCTGAAGATGGACCTAAGCAGGGCGCTCGCGGCCCTTCTTGGATCGGGGAGGGGGGGGTCAAAAAAAAGGTTCGTCCTGAGCCTGCTTGCTCCAAGCCCAAGTAAGGGCTTCGTAGGCTGCAGCTCAGGGCTAGTGCGGGGGGGAGGGCCATAGCTTGCTATGGCCAATTAACGGAGATGGGTCCACCCCCTTGGGGGTGTTTGACCCGGGGCTTTGGCCCAGCGGCGGCGAAGCGAGGCTGTGTCCCCTTGCTTTGTCGCGGGGAAAAGAGGAATATAGCTTCCTTCCCAAATTAGGTTATGAGGCGCAAGCCTTTATTTACCGGGCTGTCTCGTGGTCAAGCTCATAAGGCAATTACCAAGGCAGCCCTCAAAGAGTGGAAGGTGGACACCGCAGAGGTTTTAGTGGGTATTCCCCGCCGGGGTGCTCTCCGGCGAGGCAAGTCCCACACTACTCTGTCCCACACTTAGTGCGTCAGGATGTGCGTAAATGCATTTCCCCTGCATAATAAAAAAAAAATGGTTCAATGGTTAAACGTGGTTTATTTGTAGTTACACAGTTCAAGTATGATTAAGCATAGTACAATCAGAGTTAAATGTGGACTGTCACGGGAGGGTCCCGACCTAGCCGACTGTCAGTACGGATTCCGTGGGGGACGGTCAACGGTGGACGCCGTTTTCCACTTAAAGTCCCTCACGGAGGCGTCGACCAGGCAGGGGAAGAGGGCATTGGCAGTGTCTCTTGATATATCCACTGCATTTAATTCCCTCCCCTGGGATAATATAAGGTAGGTTCTGGAACATCATAGAGTCCCACCCTATTTGAGTAGGCTCCTCGGAGACTACTTCCGTGGCAGGGAGATTAAGTATACCGGCCGGTACGGATCGCCGCAGCGTAGGGAGATGTGCCGCGGGGTTCCACAAGGGTCAGTTTTTGGCCCGCTGCTGTGGAAACTCGGGTACAATGCGGTGATCCAGGCCGCGCTCCCCAGAGGGATATCAGTCATCTGCTACGCAGATGACACCTTGATAGTTGCCTCTGGGGACGATTGGAGTAAAACCAGATTACTGGCAGAAGTAGGTACAAATTGCGTCGTTGACCGCATCAAGAGACTGGGCCTCAAAGTGGCCGTCCACAAAACGGAAGCTATGTGGTTTTTCGACCACTGCCATGGACGGCCCCCAGAACTCAGTCTCTTCGTAGGTGAGGCTGTGACCGGAGGTTAGGTGATATTTGGTCAAGTACTCACGCTTTCTTCTGCCTACCACGGTCGCCAGTCACTTTCACCTCCTAGTGACAAGGTTGTTTCTACTTATTTTCTGCTTTTGTTTGTTCCAGGCGCTGTATAAACGGGCACCAGGCTTATCTTTTCGCAGGATCAGAATTTCACCGGGTAAGTATAAGCACTTTTTACACAGTTTATATATGTATATTAATATAAATATATTTTCTCTTTGTCTTTAATACACTTAAAATAATAACTTTTACGTACATAAAACTTTGATTTTGCGCTTAACAACTTTTTTACGTATTATTCGTTTACAGCACGTCTGTTCTGAATAATGGTTGTGTTACGACTCACTCGCTGAGAACATGGCGTCGCTTTCCTTCGTGCGGCGGCTAGCGGCGCGCATGCGCAGTGACATCTTAGACCCTTTTTACTTGCAGGATAAGGTGAGTGTTATACATTTATGTAATGTGTGAATGTGTGTCACCGACGTGGTGTGTGTGTTTCCCCTTAATCGGGTGTTTGTGTGTGTATGTGTGTTGTGTTATTTGTCTTAGTTAACGAATGTAATTTGGTGCATACGTTGCCTACCTCGAGTATATGTGTTTGGTGTATGTTTGGTCTCTTATCCGCCTGTATTAGTGTGAGTGTGATATGAGTGTTAATGTGTGCATAAGAACGGATATTTGCATGTATGTTGTGTGAGTGATGTATACATGTGTTTGCTGTATGTGTAAGTGTTTATTCGAGTGACTGTGTTTACATGTGATGTATAAGGACGGGTGTTGGTACGGATGTTGTGTGGGTGATGTGTGCATGTGCTTACTGTATGGGTGCGTGCTTATTCATGTGACTGTGTATATATGTAATGTATAAGGACGGATATTTGTACGAATGTTGTGTGGGTGATGTGTACATGTGTTTACTGTAGGTGTGAGTGCTTATTCGTGTGACTGTGTTTGTATGTTATGTATGGGTTATATCGCGATTAAGGGCTGTAACTTGGCACACGTGTTGTGTGTGAGGCATGTGTTCGAGTGACTTATGAACAAACCCTTATTCAGTGGTTTTATTTTGTAGTTAGTATAAATGTTTGAAGGTAAGTATTGTGAGTGTGTGTGTGCGATGTGTGTGTGACTCCTGCGTAACTGGTGTGCCCGTCTGTTCCTAACCTCTTTAAAATAAACACTTACTAAAACCACGGTACTTTTTACAAAACGAAACATGAAAATAAAACCATAACTTGTATAAGACAAAATAAAAACCGCTTCTTCCACTTCCGGACCTACTGGTGGTCCACACGTGGTACTTACTACTCTTAAATCTACGCTCACAGAGTACTTATCCACTAATACTAACAATAAAGTAAATAAAACTTATAGTAAATAAAAACACGCTGTCTTTGTCAATCACAGGTTGGTGTTCCCTGGGCGTCAGGTCACAAGGCACGGGTCGCGGTAGGTACGACTATAAAGTACCTTGGTCTCTACCTCGACCCGAAGTGGCGCTTTGACAAGCACTTTGCTCGTCTGGCCTCCCGGGTTTGGAAGGTCGCCAATGCGCTGGCGCGCATCCAGCCGAACCTTGGGGGACCGAAGCATAAAGCCCGCCGTTTATACGCCAACGTAGTCCACTCGGTGGCCCTATATGGGGCACCGTTGTGGGCGGAAGCCGCTGCGAGGGCAGGAGCGCGGAGTAAATTTGCATTGCTCCGCGCCTCCCAGAGAGTAGCGGCCCTTCGCGTTATATGCGGCTGCCGTACGGTGGCAAGAGAGACGGCGGGCGTACTGGCGGGGATGCCTCCTCTTGCCCTCCTTGCTGGCATGTACTCGGCGAGATATTCTCGCCGAGTCGAACTCCAGCGGGAGGGACTTGCAGGGGATGCTTTGCGAGAGGCCCTCGCCAGGTCGGAGCGCCAAGCCCGGCGGCAACTGCTCCTTGGTTGGGAGCGGCTCCTGAGCGAGCCAAACGTGGACGCTCAGGAAGTTGTCCGGGTCGTCCGACCCCACTTACAAGTGTGGTTGGACAACGGGGTCGGACGCCTCACCTACCGTGTGACGCAGGTGCTTACCGGGCATGGCTGCTTTGGTGAATACCTGTGTCGCTTCGGACGCGAGTCAACGACGCAATGTCACGAATGCGGTGCGGCCAGCGACTCGGTGGAGCACACCGTGGAAGAATGTCCACGGTGGGCTTCGGAACGCCGAAAACTAGTCGCCAATATAAGAGAAGACCTCTCCCTGGAGGGCCTGTTACGGGCGCTGGCCTCCAGGGAAAGAGACGAGTGGGAAGCGGTAGTCTCCTTCTGCTCCGCGGTGATGGAGCAGAAGGAGGCAGCCGAACAAAAAAGGGAGAGACTACCTCTCCTTCTGGGGAGACCCCGAAGACGTGCGCGAGCGGGTGGCTGGGCCCACGCTTCCCTCGCACGTCCTAGGGGTCGTGGCATGCCCCCCATGTGACAATAAGTCTCCCTTTTCTCTCACTGAAAAGGAATGGGGAGATTTAATTGTAACGGAGCGGTGGGCGTTGAGAGGAGCCGGTGCCTCTCGTTAACCCACCGTTCCCGGAGATGCGTCTTCGACGCGCGAGCAAGCGGGCGGCGGCTGTTATTCCCGTGGTGGTACCGTCCGCCACGGTTGTGTGTTTTTATTCAGTAGCCGCCGCGGGGACGTGACAAATCGAGGTGGGGGCCTCGGCTCGTCCTGCACGCGGCCTAAAAGATGAGGTGTCACCACGGTGTGTGTCCCGAGGTGACACCAAGAACAAGGACAAAGCACCCAATGCTCGGGGAGGAGGTATGAAGAAGAACTTTTCTCTGCTATTCTCCTCCCCACAGCAGTAAACAGCTCCAGGGGGGGATCCGCGCGCATCCTTACAATGGAATCCTGGGTCCCTCCCTACTAAGAGCAGGGTAGACACACCATGGGAGTTTTAGTGGGTACACCTCCTCTCGCTCGAGGATGAGAGGAGGGATTCCCACATAACCCTGACCCTTCCCCCAGGGTCAGGGTATCCATAAAGGATTTCTTCCATGTAAAAAAAAAAGAGTTAAATGTGGATTGATTGAACATGCTACGATCGGAATTAAACATGGATTGAGTATATTTCGTTTGACATATTGTTGCACATGTATGTGTGATTATATATCATGTTTTAGAATGGTTTGTAAAACGAGGAAGACGAGACCGTTGCAGACTTGCAATTTCATATCATATGTGTAAAACGCAGTGCAAAACGAGATAACTATGACTAAGTTGCAAAGTTCTTTTTGGCTAAAAATAACAATGACAAAGTTTACATATTTTTATTACTAGTTCTAAAAGGAACAATATATAAAGTATACATATTTACTATGTGTATATTATATGTTAATCTTATAAACTATTGAAAATAAAACATTAGAAGTAAACTATTTTAAGTAACATTGTAATACAAATATAACAACATATAGAACTACTAACAATAAAAAGTAGCACATTCTGCCGCAATTTGCCAGTATCTTCATCCGATTTTTTGTCTGCTTCTTGTACTTTTTCAGATGAATTGGTTGAATTGTCTTTTGTATAATATGTTCCGTTGATGACTGTGTTTATGTAATCGCGTCTTTTGCAAACAATCAGGAACGGACAGTATTCAAACTACTTTGCGTGTTGCTCCCAGGGAACATCCTCCGGATTCCAATCTCTCAATCCTCCTCTGCAATAGTAGCACAACGTCTGATCATCTTTCCCCGTGTAATAAAATCCTGCATTTGGTAAATCTTGATTTGTTTGTTTTAATGATTTTGGCCATACTTCAAATGTATTAAGTCTTGCTTCATAATTGTCAAATCGTGGATATTTCGGTTTCAATAATGTTTTATTTAACATTCCAATGTCTTCGGAACATCATCCAAACTGGAAACGGACATAAAACACGTGGATTTCTCGTCTACTTTTTTTGGAATTGTGTTAGAATCCNCATCGGCTACGTTGTCACAGGATAAGTTTTCAACAAATCGACATTGCCTAGACCACTGTCGATGATCAGCCATTGGATTGTCAGTTGTTTCCCATTTGCATACTTCAAGTTTACAGTCAAAACATTTCACCTTATCTTCTTCACCTATGTAATAGAATCCAGCTTCAGCCAGTTGTTCCGGCTTTATCCATGAGCATGACCAATCTTTAAAACTAGCTAATCGAACCGATTCGAATCTATAGTCTTCTTNACAGTTCTCCGGAATACACTGTGTAGCCATTTTGATATAAAATATAAAATTCTTTTTCTCTGCAAAACTAATGGGTAAACACAGACTACGAGCTCTTAAATACTATTGTCCCTGTCACCAGGGCCCCAGGAGGGGTCCCAGCTAGAAAAGGAGGGGACACTCGAGCAGCAGGAGAAGCCAGCGCCGGAGGAAGGGTTGGTGGAGATGCTGCAGGAGGCTGAAAGGAACAACGCGGGAGATGTAGAGACAATAACTAATCTTTAATATTAAGAAAAAGTGTTGTGTTATTCATTAAGGCCAGTGAGGTGTAGGGCCAACAGAGCAATTGTTTTTAGTTAAGGTTTGTTTTTTAGTTTTTTAGTTTTTTTTATGTGTGTACGGCAAAGCCAAAGGTCGAGATTAAGAAAAGGTTTTGTGTTTTTCGTAAAGGCCAGCAAGGCATAAGGCCAGTAGGATATTTATTTGTAACTAAGGTGCGTTTTTAATTTTTGTTAGTAGTAAAGGTAAAGTCAAGTTTAAGAAGAACTATTGGTCAGCTAGTTAAGGCCAGTGAGCCGCAAGGCCGATGAAATGTTTGTTTTGAATTAAGGATCAATTTTTTTTTATGTAACAACAACGAAGGTCGAGTTAAGAGACAGTTTTATGTTGGTTTTAATAAGTGACAGACCTGAAAGGCAGCGGTGTACTTATTTTGTATTAAGGAAAGAGTTCAGTTGTTAAAGGAAAGTTATCCCCCCACTCAAAACGTGCACACATAGACATACACATTAAGCACAAATATACAAACCATTCAAACCACATGCATTTGATAACCACACACAAACACTTACACACTTTAAGGGTGACATACATCAAACATAAAACTCACACCCATAAGGGACAATACTGGTTCCAAACACACCCACACCATACATCAATCCTCACGCACACATTCAACCACGTTAATACACACATTTAGACTCACATACTTACGAACACGTACACACGCAGTTTTTAAACACACACCCTTAAGAACTCTAACACACATCAACCATACTCTACATTCATACCGGTTCGTACACACACACATTTAACACTTAATACATACTTTCACACAAAACATAAAATTAAGACACCATATTCACATACACAAACAACGGTCACACATATAGCACAAAATTGCAGAAATCCTTTCTTAAGGAGTATAAATAAAAACCCGGAGTGGGGAGAGCGCAGGCGCGAGGCACGAGCGAACCTGCGTAGAGTTAGTTGGATTCAGGCGCTCGCGACGCACGGTAGACGCAGCGTAACGCGAGCATATAAAAGCGTGATAAAACTCATTTTACGGTACATTTTGTATTTAATAAGTTTGCGAAGTACAAATAGTTTATAACATTGTAACGAGCGAAGGTGCTGTACTAATAATATTTCCTGAAAGAGAAATAAATACATATATATATATATATATACATTCATAATCAAATAAAAGAGTGTTAGTGTGTTGATAATTACCTGGTGCATCCTTCATCCGTCCGAGGAATCCTGATCCGCGTAAAAATCCTGGAAATCCGTGGGAGCATCCTGGGAACATCCGGAACGGCGTCGGGACCTGAAACAGAAAGAAAACTAATAAATCCTTGTCCGTTGGAGGATAAACGGACTGGCGACCGTGATTACTGTGAGTACACAGCATATTTTCCAAAGAACCCCGGTCACAGTCCCCATCGTTTTTTTTCTTTTAATTGGACAAAAGACAGCCTCTTCTTTATTGAACTTGTGATTAATTAGCAAAAAACGAATAATGACACGCAAGTAATATTATGCATTGTGACGTGGCCGAGCGGTTGCAGCAGCAACCGCCCGCCCTAGTCACAAAGACTCGTCTCCGGGATCCGAAATCGCACTCGGAAACCGTTAATCCTCCGGGGCATACACGCGACTTAAAAGAAAAACCGATCTTAATTGATTTTA